CGTAGCAGTAACTCCTCTGTATCGTGTAGTTAGCTGGGTGGTCCCCACCCTCGGCTGTATCTGGTGAAGGGGCAGTTACCCCTTTGTGTTACGTGTTACAAATAAATGTTGCCTCTAAAAAGAACAACGTCTGCGACTCAATTGGACTCGCTACATATGGATGGCTTCGTGAACGAATCTTTTGTTGATAGCCAGTCGGCTTGTAAGTACCATCGTCTTAGAGAAATCTATTTCATGTGAGCCAGCCGCATTAAAGTAATGATCAGCCACGGCAGAAGTATTGGTCCTGCCGTTTTTCAGATCTGCCTTATGTTCATGAACACGGTCCGAGACATGTCGTTTGGTTTCCCCAATGTAATTGCTGCCGCAGACACAGCTTAGTTTGTAGACGCCGGGATATTGCATGTCAGGAATCTTGTCCTTCACATGTGGAATCAGATCACGAATTTTGTGCACTGTGTTAAATCGGTCCTGGATATCTTGTGTTTGTTCAAGATTTTGGAAATCTTTTTGGTTATCCCTGCTATGTAAGGTAAGGTGATGGTTTTGAATGGATCTTCAGATGGCTCCTTCCTCACTGTTGGGGTGATGGCTTTGCGGATTATGTAGTCGGAATATCCATTCGCCTTGAGAACCTGGTGTACATGTTTGAGTTCACTGGTCAGGTGTTCATGGTCGGAGATACATTGAGCTCGATGGTGTAGCGTTTGATGAGGGGATTCTTCTGGAATTGATGGTGGTGGGAATTAGGTTTTAGGTAGGCGTCAGTTTGGGTTACTTTCCTGTAGACAGAGTGGCTCATTGAGCCATCTGGTCTCTTTTTACACGCTTTTATTTAACTCACTCTGTCTGTTGTCGTTGTTGTCATCATATCCTCAAATTTTGTAACTCAATTTTAACCCACTTCCCAATGTGGTATCGACTGCAAACTTGGTATACTTATGTCATACTGATGATAATATTATATTCTATCATAAAAACAAAATTTAAACCATCTTTTTTATGTTATGTTTCGCCTTGGGTCTAATTGTCCACGCTCAACTCACGTTGGCTGTAAATCACCACGGTTCCTTACGTTATGGCAAGCCTCGGGGCCACTTCCTGGAGTCGTGGAGTTCTGCCATGTCTCGTACAGTACATTTAATTAAAGCGTGTTTAAATTTTTTTAAAAAAAATATTACTTACTGATTAAGACATCCAAGAAGGGTAGCATGCCATCCTTTTCTACCTCCATGGTGAATATGATTGCTGGGTGTATGGAATTGATGATTTTGAGGAATTGTTCCAGAGCCGGTCGGCCATGTGGCCAGATGACAAACGTGTCATCCACGTACCTCTTCCACAAGGACGGGCGTAGAGTGGATGCCTGGATGGCGTCCGTCTCAAAATTTTCCACGAAAATATTGGCTACAACCGGAGATAAGTGAAAACCCATTGGGGTACCTTCAGTTTGTTTGTAGAATGTTACATTCCAAGTGAAGAATATTGGTGAGGCAGTGTCTCACCAGGGCTGGTACATCAGCATTCAGTCCTTGTTGGACCAAATCTTCAATGATTGCAATGGTATCGGGCACATGAACTTTGGTGAACAGAGAAACTACATCGAAACTAACGAGCAAATTACCTGGGGACAGTGAGATGTCTTTAATTGACGATACCAGGTGAGCTATTGCACCTTCATTTTAGTCGGTATGCAGATATGTGACAATCGTGTAGGAGCCTCATTCTAATTTTGCTTGTTTACCTAGGAAACCCTTGCCGGGCCCCAAGGCTTTAAGGAGAGTTGCAGTTGGCCAGGCCTTTTACGATGTCGACTGACAAGTGTCTCCCTTCAGATGTCATGCATAATGTTTTATGTTTACAATCCCACCACACGCACGTGGTCACCTCTTCTGTCCATCTCGGTCCCCACAATTTTCTTCCTCCAATGCAAGCTCATTCACACGAAGTCTAACCCCCAACAACACAGTCTTGCATTCAGTCATGGGTTCATTAAACATTCACCTCCACCTATCAAACAACCCCGTCTATCTTATGTGGCCTTTGATATTTCGGTCACTTTAACAAACTATTTGTTAATTCTCAAAGTCTGTCTGTCTGAGTCGGTCGCCTCCACAAGCCAGTGGGACAAAACCTTTGCGAACGTGGGCTGCGTGCACGTTTTGCCATAATCTCCTTTAACAAAATAGCACTATGATCAGTGTTTCTCTTTCCTGACATTACAGCCATTGAAACCCAACTCATCACTCATTCATGTGTGAGTCGTCTACTATTGTGTAGAATGTGTTTATATGTGAAAAAGCATATCCAGTACAATACTCATTGTAAAATAAAAATCCATGTGGTATTGCAGAGCATTGTGGGTAGTTACAAAAAAACGTCCTCCAGTTGTCTCCAGATTCAAAATATAGATTTGGATGAATCAACTTCTGGACTTTTTTTTACCAATATGCCACTTTTGAAACAAAAAATAACCAGTTTCAGACGTTTGGGTTTCAAAGCATGACCGCAGACCCAACGTGTCTTAAATGGTCCATTATTGTCCGTTCTTATCACAGTACAATGCTGCCCATTGATACATTTGGTCTCCGTTTTTAATATGCTGCCAGTTGCATCTTTACATAGAGCACGAATGCGTTTGAATTGTTCTAGACTCGATACTGCAATGTTATAGTATTTTCAAAAGTTTTTTTTGTTTACATAATTAATATAAACGAGGGTTGAGCGTTTTTAGGCAATTGTAATTACGTGTGTGTATATACTAAACAGGGTTGAGTTAACGTACGTAAGGGCGCTATGGTGGCGAGATGTTAACTCCCACGCCTGGTCGTCGGTTCGATCCCAACCCCTGCTGTTTATTAGGAGTTTGCATGTTTCTCTCTCTCTCCGTGGTCGCGTGGATTTTTCTCCGGGTCCTGCGGTTTTCCCCTCCACGTTAATCATCACGCGTCTCGAGTCTTTGCCTTCAATAAGTTTCCACATGAGAAACCATCCTCGGTGAGCTATCATTTGTGATCGCCAGCTCAGTGGGCCTTGCCTGGGGAATAGTTTAAGTGTCCCTTTGCTTAAGTTGACATGACATTTTTAAAATATTTAATTCATAATTACGTTCGTCAATTATAACCATTGATTTTCAATATTTACATATCTCTTTCCGCCACCCCTGTTATCCTCAGCAACTAATTTCCGCGAAATAAAATCCCCTATTACCTGCAGATGACTACAAATCGCGGATAATCGCGCGATCTGATACTGGTGCCCCCATATCACCGCGGATACGAGGATTTCACACTACTGGCCTTAAACAAAGTACACACGAGGCGACGTTTATGACAATGGCCCTTCACAGCACAGGGCCAGAGAGGTGGTAGAGTGACGTTATGAGGTTATCGGCTAATGTGGTGGGGCAACAGAGAAGTGAGAGGGGGATGAAGCCAAATCCATTGTTGTACTGTGCTTCTATGCTTCCAACTGAACCTTCACCGAGCAGCGTGTTGACAAGGCGGGGGGGCTGCTGACAAGAGGGGGGGGGGCTGCTGACAAGGGAGGGGGGCTGCTAACAAGGGGGGGGACTGCTGACAAGAGGGGGGGGGCTGCTGACAAGGGGGGGGCTGCTGACAAGGGGGGGGCTGCTGACAAGGGGGGGGGCTGCTGACAAGAGGGGGGGGGCTGTTGACAAGAGGGAGGGGGGCTGTTGACAAGAGGGGGGGCTGTTGACAAGGGGGGGGCTGCTGACAAGGGGGGGGCTGCTGACAAGGGGGGGGGGCTGCTGACAAGGGGGGGGGGGCTGCTGACAAGAGGGGGGGGCTGTTGACAAGAGGGGGGGGGGCTGTTGACAAGGGGGGGGGGCTGCTGACAAGGGGGGGGGCTGCTGACAAGACGGGGGGGGCTGTTGACAAGGGGGGGGGGGCTGTTGACAAGGGGGGGAGGGCTGTTGACAAGGGGGGGGCTGTTGACAAGGGGGGGGGGCTGTTGACAAGGGGGGGGGGCTGCTCACAAGGGGGGGGCTGCTGACAAGGGGGGGCTGCTGACAAGGGGGGGGGGTTGTTGACAAGGGGGGGGGCTGCTCACAAGGGGGGGGCTGTTGACAAGGGGGGGGGCTGCTGACAAGGGGGGGGGCTGCTCACAAGGGGGGGGTTGTTGACAAGGGGGGGGGGCTGCTCACAAGGGGGGGGGGTTGTTGACAAGGAGGGGGCTGCTCACAAGGAAGGGGGCTGTTGACAAGGGGGGGGCTGCTCACAAGGGGGGGGGGTTGTTGACAAGGGGGGGGCTGCTCACAAGGGGGGGGGGGCTGTTGACAAGGGGGGGGGCTGCTGACAGGGGGGGGGTGACACGCGTCTCGGTGTGGTTGGTGCGCGGGGAGCGGTGGTGTCGTGGTTAGCGCTGCGCTACCAACTCGCACCCCCCCCCCCTCCTGCAGTTCGATTCCCGCTCACGGCGAACACCGGCGACGATTGTCCGAACCGGTCGCGGGCCTCTCCTGGGTCGACTCAGCCTCAAATGAGTATCGGGCGCCGCGTGTGGTAAACATCGCCGCGTGGGGGAGACGAATGCGGCCCGGCGTGGTGTTGACCACCCGCGCCCCCCGCGTGTCGGCCTTCGTAGGCGCTCCTCGCCCCCCCACGGCCCTCGCCCCCAGGGCCCTCGCCCCCACGGCACTTGCCCCCAGGGCCCTCGCCCCCACGGCACTTGCCCCCAGGGCCCTCGCCCCCACGGCACTTGCCCCCAGGGCCCTCGCCCCCACGGCACTTGCCCCCAGGGCCCTCGCCCCCACGGCACTTGCCCCCAGGGCCCTCGCCCCCACGGCACTTGCCCCCAGGGCCCTCGCCCCCACGGCACTTGCCCCTGAGGCTGCGCGGGGACCTTTGCCTTTGTCTCGGCGCGTGCCCGCGGCGCCCGAGAAGTGGCGGAGCGGTCCCTGAAACCCAAGAAACGTTGTCGAGACCCCCGCGCCACGTGACCGCGACGCGGCGCTCCCATTGGCCGCGAGCTCGCGAGGTGAGCCCGGGCCGATCGCCGCCGCCGCCGCTGAGGAGGAGGAGGAGGAACGCGGCCCCGGGGCTCCTGCGCGGCTCCCTCCGCCGCGGCTCCGTCTTCTCGCCCCTCCACCCCCCACCCCCCCGCACCATCGCCCCGTCGACTCCCGACCCGACGAGCTGCCGAGTCTCCGAGCCGCGAGCCCCCCCCCCCCCCCCGGGGCCTTGTCCGTGGCGCCTCCTCCTCCTGCTCGCCTCGGACTCGCGCGCGCCGAGGCCGCAGAGGGGCGGGGGGCGACTTCAAGTTCAACCGCGAAGGCCGCGGAGCGCGCCGTGGTGGTCAGTGCCTCGTCGCCGTCTGTTCGCTCGCACGCCGCACACGCTGCCGCTGCTGTGATTATTGTTGTTGTTGTCGGCGACTTTGCTCGTAGCCGTTGTCCGTAGAGAGCGAGAGACGGGACGAGGGGGGCGAGAGACGTGGTTCGCGCCGCGTCGTAGAGACAAAGTCGTCGTGAGCCGTGCGGCATCGCGGCTGGCGGTGGTCGCGCTGTGTAGTCGACGATGTGTGTGGTGGTGGTGTGTAGTCGACGATGTGTGTGGTGGTGGTGTGTAGTCGACGATGTGTGTGGTGGTGGTGGTGCTGTGTAGTCGACGATGTGTGTGGTGGTGGTGTGTAGTCGACGATGTGTGTGGTGGTGGTGGTGTGTAGTCGACGATGTGTGTGGTGGTGGTGGTGTGTAGTCGACGATGTGTGTGGTGGTGGTGGTGGTGTGTAGTCGACGATGTGTGTGGTGGTGGTGGTGGTGTGTAGTCGACGATGTGTGTGGTGGTGGTGGTGTGTAGTCGACGATGTGTGTGCTGGTGGTGGTGTATAGTCGACGATGTGTGTGCTGGTGGTGGTGTGTAGTCGACGATGTGTGTGCTGGTGGTGGTGGTGTGTAGTCGACGATGTGTGTGGTGGTGGTGTGTAGTCGACGATGTGTGTGGTGGTGGTGGTGTGTAGTCGACGATGTGTGTGCTGGTGGTGGTGTGTAGTCGACGATGTGTGTGCTGGTGGTGGTGTGCGACCGTGTGCGTGTTCACGCAGCGCTCGCGAATGGAGTGACGGAAGGCGGCGGCCCCGCTACGACCTCTCATGTCTGCGGCGGACGGCAAGCGGCCGCCGCGCAGTCTCGGGGAGGGACCCAGCAGGTAGGTCACTCGGGGTCACCGTCGGCCCGACTCGGCCGTCCAGAGCCACTCGGTGGCAAGCCACAGACGAAGACTCGGGGCCGGGGACCACTCCGCTACGACCGGGACACCCGTGACTGCCCGGAAGCACCCTGGGCCAAACAAAGGCACCCATGACTATTGGGGACCTACTCGGGTTACCCAGGGTCACACATGACCACCTTCGGCCATCTAGGGCCACTGAAGTCGGGACCCCTGGGATTGAAATGCCTTGGGGCCAGTGGTCATGTCCAGCGTCGGAGACGCGGTATAAACAATGAATGTTCGGTGGTGGTGGCTCGTGACTCCAGTTTAAGGAAGTCACAAGATAGCATCTCAGAGGTGGCTACGTGGTGGCCCAAAATGATACTACCGTGTCGGAGCATAGAGTTATGACGGCGGAAATCCTTCATATCAGGGCAGCCACCTGATTAAACAGGGTTATCGAGCCTAACGGCTTCATGGCCTCGTCATAATCGCCAATAGCCGCACAAGGCATTACATTCGTTTTATCCCCACTTAATTCACACATTTTAAGTTTTGAGGACTAAACATTGCCCAAACATCGTTGCCATGTCACACAACTACTATATCACAGGGCCAATGAGAAGTTACAACACCGAGCGTAGTCAAAAGGCATTTGAACGGATATCGTAAGTAGTTTTGCGTTATCGTTTGGAAGCAGTTCTGTAACATAGTGCGATGCATTGCATTATGCAGTAGTTACAAGTAAAGATGTAGTTGTTTCATCACATTGTCAATAACGTTATTGGAATATAATAATACAATTATAATTTGTGCCCCTTGTCGGTCATGGAGGTATTTTGACCTGACTTAACTACACTGGTTACTCCGAAGTTGCCGTTTCCAGGTGATGAATAAAGGTGGATCGATTGATGAGTGTAATGTGCAGATAACATAATTCACCAGGGCTGGGTTCCCATCAAACCACTTCTTAGCTGCATGGACTGGATTTGCGTGTCTGCTAGAAAAAAAATGCAGGTGAAGTCACTGGCCGTGCATTCCAGTTATATATCCCACCTTCACGATTCATCTGAGACTGGAAAACCTGAGGTGGCCTTTGGTGCCTCTTTAACTTGGAGCTGCTATGCTCGCAGTGCACATTGCCAATGCACAGATGGAGACTTGCGTCAGATTATTTGATTTCGGCACATTATCCAATCACTGTGAATATGATAATGTAATTTGACTTAAGAGAACTTGCGTAGTTGTACCTCTTGTGTATTTTATACAAATGCACGTTTGAATTTGTGGTCAAATTGCAATTGTTACCCTAGGGTGGAATGCGCAATTATAAATTTTAATTATTATGATGTAAAAAGTAGGTCGGGTAGGACGTTACTCGAAGGGATGATGGTGATGGCCAATTCTGGTGATGGACTGGCAGCCAAAAAAAGAGGAAGACTCCCAAGATAAACTATGCGGTCAATTAGTGGTCAGGAGCGAGATTGGTTTTACTGTCGCAGAACGGTGAGGCATGTCGACAATTCCGCAGTGGATAGGCGCTGGTTAATTATGAAATATCTTCTCATCCCAGCGTGGCGAGTGTGGAGAGTCCCTTCTGCCGGATCTGCCACGAGGCGGGCTCGGCCGAGGAGCTGCTGTCTCCGTGCGAGTGCATGGGCACGCTTGGCTGGGTGCACCGCGCCTGTCTCGAGCGCTGGCTCGCCGCCTCAAACACCAGCTACTGCGAGCTCTGCCACTTCCAGTTCCTGGTGGAGCGCACACCACAGCCTTTCTCACAGGTGGCCGGCCTTGTTGGTCTCCTCCATCACCACGAATCGCCACCCTCACCCACCCCCACTTGCGCTTGCGACAGCCCCCGCACCCTCCCAGCGGACCCGGTGTCATTTAGAATCAGCGTCACGCGTTGAGAGTATTTGGCTGCTGTAAATTTCCACATGATAAGCCGCTTTGTTAAACTATAGTTTGTGGTCAGGTCTCTTCTGAAAAAGAGCTCTATGGCTCAGTTGGCCTTACCTGGTAAAATAAGAATATCTTAGTTTAGTAGCTCTCCTGCGTAGGCATTCATGGTACTCCTGTGTAGCTCTTTGAAGTATTTTCGGGTTGTACCACGGGTTGTTTCTGATGTTTCACTTCACGCGCTGGGGGGGCTTCTTCTATGTGGTTGCAAAACGTAGGACAGCATACTAAATAACACACGATACAACCTGAAAACACATCGGGGAGCTATTCGGCGTGCAGGAGGCACAACTGCACAGGGGCCCGCGTGGCATTGCTGTGCAAGCTCTTTATCGCTGTTCAAATTCTCTGATTCAACCATTAAAACTGATTGTTATGCTCATAATAAATGTCACATTTTGTACATAAGAATCAATCAATCATTCATGCAAATGTTACTGAGACAAATACAACAACACCAAATTAAAAGGCAGTGCTAATAGGACAAAAAAAAATCGATTCTTGAATTGAACTGGCGTTGTATCTTTCAAAACTCATTCAGTCGCAAATACGATTTATAGTTTTACGTCTACAGGCTTGTGTGACTTTTATTCGCTTGAACACTGCACCTGGGCGTTGCTGCCATTGAATTGTCGACGCTTGTTCCTGCTGTTTTGCCGACGCTGTTGCTTGCGCGCACGCGTCCTGACAGTGGTTGCGGCGGCCGAGCCCCAAGCAGGAGCGACGCACGCTGCTCAGCGACACGCTGTGCTTCCTCTTCATCTCGCCGCTCGCCGGCGTCTCGGGCTGGCTGTGTCTACGCGGCGCTGCCGACCATATTGAGTCTGGCAGCCGGAGTCGCCTGGAGGCTGCCGGCCTCATTGGCCTCACCGTCGCCCTCCTCACCATCTACCTCTTCTGGACAGCTGTGAGTTTGCATGATCCATCATCACGAGCCATGGGTAGATAGCGCGTAGGTGTCCACTGCACGTCGTCATTTGTTTCCACTTTCCTCTATCTTGTGCCCATGACGAATCAATTAACTTGTCCCTATTTTGAATTATATTTTTTTGAAACACAGTGCACGGCATTTTTTTAATTCAGTACGACTTTAAATACAGTCGCAAGTATTTGCCTAATTTTCAAGGGTCAGTCTTAGTTTATCAGCAGACTTTATCCTGGTCAACCGTGCATCCGAGTGAGTACAATCAGTTGAAGAAAAAACATCAGAGCTTGAAAACATTCATTAGCTTAAGCACATTTTATGGTGTTTCTATTTTTTTGTCGTCGGCTACAAATGAGACAAGACAAATTAGCTCCTTACTTCAGCGCTTAACCTTGTTTTATAGCGTAGGAGCCTGGATTGGTGACAAACGTCTTGGCACTGACACAGGTGTCCAACTATCCTAAGTTACCATTCCTCCTCTAAGTTACCATCCTCCTAAGTTACCATTGCTGAGCAACAATCCCAAGGGCCCAAAAAGTCCAAGCAGCCGGCAACAAATGGCATTATTGACAGTGTAATAGGTACGTGTTGATGTTTCTTGATTTCAGCAAAGCTGTAAAAACTTTGGAAAAGAGGAAATCTCAGAGTCGAGCAGTATGAAGAGCACATCCAGTAATACCCAGATTTACGTCTCCCCATTTTCCGTTACTGAGCAAATACGTCGTCACTTTGTTAGTAACACCGCTACCTGATTTGTGTCGCCTCAACCCACGCTTACATCACTGACAACATCATCCGTCTGTTCTCGTATCTATCACCTCTCATCCTTCGCCGCCACCTACCCTGTAAATCGCTTTGATTTATGTGGTTTGATATTCGTCGTCGCACCTTTTAGGAACGCATCCCCAACGTAAACCGGGGTATTGCCGTATATGGTCGCCATGAGGTGAGGGACCTGGTGTTACGACCATAGGTGCCGTCGGATTTACCCATTTCGCTGTGGCCCTCCCCACCCAGGTCTCCGTACGCTACCACATCCGGCTGTACCAGGAGTGGCGGAAGACACACCACCGCGTGAAGCTGCTCACGCCCCGGCCGCCCGGGCCTCCGGCCTCTCTCAACCCGCTGCTGGGCCCTCCACACCCCGCCAAGCGCCCGTCCTCCTCCGACACGGTCGTGTGACCCCCGCGGTGGCTCTCCGCCGTTCGGCCATGCCAACGCCCCCCCACCCCCCACCCCTCCCCCGGGCGTCTGACCCAGCTGACACGTCCGGGCGTATGACTCCACTTGCACGCCCCGTGTAACCTTCACCGCCAGATGTGGACACGTGAGCCAGCCGATGCATCCGGTTAACGTGACTTCCATTGATGCTCGGGTCGTGCGACGCGACCGAAGCAGCCCGGTCGCGTGATCTCCCTGCCACGAGCAGGTGTGTTACGCCTGGATGCGTGCCCCCGTTGGTGGCACTTGGCCATTTGACGCTGCTGTCCACAACCAGCCATGTGACCAGGGCTCGCGTGTCGATGCTTCCAGCCATGTGACTTCACCTCTGCAACTTGGCCGCGTCACCACTGACATTTTGCTCCCAGCCAACGCAGCAAGGGCAGCTCGTTGGCAATGCATTTTACTGAGGAGTAACTTGACCCGTTGACCCTGTGGCGGTTGCATCCCAGGATCTCCAGACAAACTTATATGGTACAGCTGCGTTTGTGTTTCCCCCCTCACAGAAATATTAAATTGCTTAGTTAACTTTGTTGAATTTACCTGTGACAGGTGTGGCTCTTGTGGGGCACAACAGGCATGCAAATTGGGTGGGTGAAAAGCCCAGAGGCAAACGGCTTTGGAATGACAGTCATGAACGCTGGTGATGGTCAAATCCCACCTTGAGTTCTCTAGCCATTTCCAATCCTCTTGTGCCCAGGTACTGCCACACTTGGGCGTTGTGCGATGCATCGCCACGTGTTGGTGTGCACAACCGCACACTTAAAACGTCTGGGGAATACGATCCTTGGGACAGAATCAGAACATTAGTGCGCGCTTGTTTTGTAGTTACAAGTTGCATCGAGAGTTGTGGCAAAGCCAAATGTATACCGCTTGCACATTCGCTACGCACGGGCTTGTGACGTGTGGTTATTCCACCATCTGTCGTTGGGTGGGGCAGTTAGGTGCTAAGTGATAGGCGGTGAGACCAACGGGGCGGTGTGCAATAACCAGTGATGGAGCAATGATCACACTCGTTGCATTGGGTCCTCTCTACCAAATGGGCGTGCATTGAATCGGTTCATGAGTTGATCAACACAGCCACACTAGGGGGGATTTGCTTAAGGGATCCAAACGTTTACATATGAAAACGAAGCATGACATCTGTACAAACATGTGAGCACTTGTATGCCCCATGGGTTAAAACTGCACACTTTCCTCAATTGTCCATTCATATCGTAATTCGCAGATGTAATGAATTCGCTGCATGGCTACGTCGTATCTCGTGGGTAGGCGACGGGTGCTCCCGCTCTAGGTGCTGCCGTAGAAAATTATTCATGGCCCCTACTTGGCGGCTGACACCAGCCGACTGGACGCTCACGGGATGCCGGGGGCGTTGTGTCCGTGCTCGGGCCACATCGCAGGTGTGAGTCCCCTATCACCGGGAGGAAGATTGGGTCTGTGTCAAACTCGGACCAAGCAAGAACGGCTCCTATGTATCTTTGATATCTGTTTTGGGGCTGCAGTGCTTAGTTGAATGGCACTGGGTGAAACTCAGCTTGTGTTACTTATCAGATAATATGGAACACTTCCCCACCCGAAGAGACTTTCAAAATGAGGTTCTTCATGAAGGTTATTTTAGGACTGTCCAATGTACGTTCGATCTGCAGTGTTGTGATGACTACGTTTGTGAGTGACACGGCATGCTGTTCACAGAGCCACTCTAGCACCTCATTGTCAGAACATTTATAAGAATTGCCCTTTTTAAAATCGACTATAACTTATAAATTTTGTAAAGTGAAAAAACACCCAAACGAGAAAGAATGAGGCTGATGTTGACTTCTTATTCATCACAAATGTTGAATTGATCAGGAAGCTAAAGCATTCCTCTCCCTGTCAGGAGAACAAACTCGAGTTAAGACCAGACATGGCCCCCAACTCCTAATACCCACATAAGTCACGTGCTTGAATTACAAGTACAGCGGCTTGGCCACCTTCATGGAAATAAAAATATATTTGATCACAAGTTAATTTCTCCACTGTAGGTTTTAACTAGCAGTAAAATATATGATCTCCAATTCACTTTTGAAAGTAAAAAGAAAATCAGTCCAGTGAGCTCATCACATGGGAATTCGGTGCGTGCTCATGCGGTGCTTGTTGAGCAGATTTGAATGGCGAGGTTCGTTGTGCAATAGCGGTCACCTCCTGAGATCGCATGGCTTCGCAATAGAGGTGGTGCCGATGTGTGGAAACGGAGACCTTCTTGTCCATCGGCGGGCAGCTGCTGAGGCTAGAGAGAGGCCCGCCGGGACTCGTGAAGTCTTGTTCATATGTATCATAACTTTATCACGAAAACAGTAAATACGTAAATAGCGAGTGTGCAGCCTGAAGCTCGCGTGCTCAAGGGTCACGCACTTGATGCCAGTGTGTTTATTGTGATGACAAAAGCACGCCATGAAGACTTTTCGGACACATTGTATAGAAGGCTCAGAGGTATACGGGTTGGTACAATTGCATGAAGGTAATCGGAATCGTTTGGACGGTGCCACTGCTACTACTGGGAGGAGGGAATACATCATTATTTTATTTACAGTAATTTATGCTCTCTTTTGTTGTCAACATTGGTGCTGCTGCTGCTTCATGTATATAAGCTGAAATGAATGGAACAGATCTGGTACGTGTGTGAGCAGCACTTAGTGGAGTTGGATCGGTCTCTGACCTGTTTGGTCCATTCCTGCATTAGGACGGACTACGTCGTCACAAGCATTTTCCACTGGCCTGGCGTGAAACCCGCGTGGGTGTTTCGCAGATAATGCTTTTGCAGTGTGGATGATGTACCTAAGGGTTTGCTGTGATTGTGTTCCTTATTTACCTCGTGTTTACAGTTTAAGTTGAATTCCTGTCTTGATGTATTTTGTAAAAGCGGTCGAGTGTGGCTATCCCTGAACTTTATCTTAAATCAAATGCCCTCTCACCGACCAAGAGAATCGAGCTGCCGGTGTTGAAATGGGCACGTGTTAAAGTGTCTGTTCTTTGAGTGTTCATGCATCCACAAAGTGCGTTGAGTGAACATGGCACGAGTTTGACGTTATCCTCGTACCCCTTTGATGAAGGGGTTTGCGTTCGTGGTCACAGGGTGATGGATGCAGAGTTTGTGGTGTGGTTTGTTCTGCCCGATTTGAAAATGTTCAATTCTAGACTTGGCTGTTATAAAAAAAAAGAAATTTGTAACAAGTCATTTGTGTTTGAATGGTTCTGTATAAATGAGTTATTGCTGTACAACGCTCTCAATAAAAGTGTGTATATGCTTGCAAAGTTCAGAGATTCCTGTGCAGTTGTGACTGATACATAATATGAAGCTTCCACTGGCAGTTCGGCTCAGTGCTCTCGCAGTACGGGTGGTTTTCCGCTGGCGATTCACTGCTGAGCCAGGAGCAAGCGGCACTGCACTGGAACCTCACCAAACATCTGAATTTGGCTTGGGCCACACTGCGCGGGGTGGTGCTAATGACGCGTTGATTGCGTGTGACGCCATCACAGCCTGAGCAAGATGGACAGCCTGGCGGCCAGAGGAAGAGTGTACGTTCGTGTGAGCGTTCGTTTCTGTGAACGTGTTGCCACATCATCTACATTCGCCTTGACGTCACATACATAAGGAAGCTACGGGAGATATGCACTTTTAAATCTTATAGAAGGAAGCACTGAGCCGAACTTCCAGCGGCAAGAATATGAATTCCTGCAGTCACGAAAGCTTTAAGTCAAGATGAAAACTAATTTCTTTGGAAATGCTTTTTGTGTTTAGTTTTTTGTCCTTCCCTGCACCTCCGATTAGTACGGTTGTCTACGTACGTTGCCAAAGAAGTTCAACATACACATCGTGTGTGACGTCAGCATGCACGGCTGGGTTTAAGCAGTGGAAAAACAAACTCTCACCTGACTTGCCACAGTTCAGATGTGCCAATGGTGGTACGTATAAATGTTATATTTTGTATTCGGTCAGCGCATCAGCCTTCCAGCATCAATAAAACATTGAAAAATTGTTATGGGGAGACACCCCGGGTCCTGCCATGCAAATGTCGAATTTCTACCCCCTGGCTCAGGGCCACGAACTGAGGTGAGCACCACACGGAGATAGTTTGAGAAGTGAGATACTTTGACCTGACTTACGTTTCCCAATAACTCAGACATCGCATCACTTTAACACATTCCTGCGGAGGAAGCTGGTAGGAACGTTGGGTTGCTCGGTCAATGGCCAGGGTCAACGGCGGCGTGGTGTAAATATGGCCGACGGTGAGGGCGGGGACAAGCCGGCGTGAGTAGGTTAAACGTTGAGTTTTATAAGGGCACCACGGGGTGACCAGCCCCTCCCCACCCTCCCCACCCTCCCCTCTCCACCCAGCCCCACCCCTCCCACTTTTGGATTTACGACGGACAGACGGACACAATAATTCCCTGTGGGCTGGTGTAACCATGAGGTTCCTACCAGTGAAACGGTGTACAATGTATGTTTGTCATTGTGAAGGTGAATATTAATTTGGGACAGTGGGTGGGGAGCCTTCTTTCCGCGTGAGGGCTCAGACCTCTGCTGTGTTGCACTGAGCTGTCGAGGTCTTTTCCAGAAGTGATCTGGCCATAAATAATAGCCCAACGAAGTGGCTTATTTGTAAATGTGTTGTCGCCAAATACTCTAAACACGTGTTGAGTCTGTAACTATTTTTTATTTTACCAGGTGAGCTATATTGCTTTTTCTGAAGCGACCTGGCCGTCACAAATGACGGCTCAACAAAGTGACTTATCACGTGTCAATTTATAACAGCTAAACAACTCTAAACGCGTGATGTTGATTAAAAATGTGGAGGGAAACCCCGGAGGACCCGGAGAAAAATCCACGCGACCACGGGTGGAGAGAGACGCAAACTCCAAATATACAGCAGCAGGCGGACCAGGCGTGCGAGTTAACATCATCTCGCCATACTGTGGTCGTTTATGCATAGTCCTGTATAAGTGCATTGTATATGTATGTGTGTTGTGTTATATTGTGTGCTGTGTATTGTGTTGTGTGGTGCCACGGCCGCGGAGTAACTCCGCAAGCGCCACGACCCCCCCTTGGCCCCTACACTGAGCACATACACGCAGCACACACACACAGCACACACACAGCACACACACAGCACACACACACAGCACACACACACACCAGCACACACACAGCACACACACACACCAGCACACACACACACCAGCACACACACAGCACACACACACAGCACACACAGCACACACACACAGCACACACAGCACACACACAGCACATACAGCACACACACAGCACACGCACAGCACACACACACACAGCGCACACACAGCACACACAGCACACACACACAGCACACACACACAGCACACACACACAGCACATACACGCAGCACACACACAGCACACACAGCACACACACACAGCACACACACACAGCACACCACACAGCACACACACAGCACACACAGCACACACACAGCACACACACACAGCACACACACAGCACACACAGCACACACACACAGCACACACAGCACACACAGCACACACACACACCAGCACACACACAGCACACACAGCACACACACGCAGCACACACACACGCAGCACACACAGCACACACACCACACCAGCCACACCAGCACACAGCACACACACACACAGCACACACAGCACACACACAGCACCACACAACCAGCACACACACACAGCACACACACCAGCACACACACAGCACACACAGCACATACACACAGCCACCACACAGCACACACACAGCACACACAGCACACACCACACAGCACACACACGCAGCACACACACACAGCACACACCAGCACACACAACACACACACACATCACACACAGCACACACAGCACACACACACCAGCACACACACAGCACACACAGCACACACACAAACACAAGCACACCACACACAGCACACACAGCACACACACACCAGCACACACACACACACACACAGCACACACACCAGCACACACACAGCACACACGCAGCACACACACAGCACCACACACAGCACACACACACAGCACACACGCAGCACACAGCACACCAGCACACACACAGCACACACAGCACACACCACATCACACACAGCACACACACACAGCACACACCAGCAGCCACCACACACAGCACACACACATCGCAGCACACACAGCACACACAGCACACACACACAGCACACACACACAGCACCACAGCACCCACACAGCACACACACACGCAGCACACACACACAGCACACATACACGCAGCACACACACACACCAGCACACACACAGCACACACACACAGCACACACAGCACACACACAGCACACACGCAGCACACACACAGCACACCCACACGCAGCACACACACACACCAGCACACACAGCACACACACACCAGCACACACAGCACACACACACGCACACACACAGCACACACACAGCACACACACACGCAGCACACACACCACACACACGCAGCACACACACAGCACACACACACGCAGCACACACACAGCACACACACGCAGCACACACATGCAGCACACACACGCAGCACACACACAGCACACACACAGCACACACACAGCACACACAGCACACATGCAGCACACAGCACACACACACCAGCACACACAGCACACACACACATGCAGCACACACACAGCACACACACACACAGCACACACACGCAGCACACACATGCAGCACACACACGCAGCACACACACACATCACACACAGCACACACGCAGCACACACACAGCACACACACAGCACACGCAGCACACATGCAGCACACAGCACACACACACCAGCACACACAGCACACACACACATGCAGCACACACACACAGCACACACACACACAGCACACACACGCAGCACACACACGCAGCACACACACACATCACACACAGCACACACGCAGCACACACACACGCAGCACACACACAGCAGACACACGCAGCACACACACAGCACACACAGCAGACACACACGCAGCACACACACACACGCGGCACACACACACAGCACCCACACACTCACAGCACACACACACGCAGCACACACACACACAGCACACACACATCACACACACACAGCACACACACACACAGCACACGCAGCACACACACGCAGTACACACACACGCAGCACACACAGCACACATGCAGCACACACACAGCACACACATAGCACACACAGCACACACACACACAGCACACGCACGCACAGCACACACACACACACGCAGCACACACGCAGCACACACAGCACACACACACACAGCACACGCAGCACACACACACACCAGCACACACAGCACACACACACCAGCACACACACAGCACACACAGCACACACACGCAGCACACACACACGCAGCACACACAGCACACACACACACCAGCACACACACCAGCACACACACACAGCACACACAGCACACACACAGCACACACACACAGCACACACACACAGCACACACACCAGCACACACACAGCACACACAGCACATACACACAGCACACACACACAGCACACACACAGCACACACAGCACACACACACAGCACACACACGCAGCACACACACACAGCACACACAGCACACACAACACACACACACAGCACACACACACAGCACACACAGCACACACACACCAGCACACACACAGCACACACAGCACACACACAAACCAGCACACACACACAGCACACACAGCACACACACACAGCACACACACACAGCACACACAGCACACACACAGCACACACACGCAGCACACACACAGCACACACACAGCACACACACACAGCACACACGCAGCACACACACACCAGCACACACACAGCACACACAGCACACACAGCACACACACACAGCACACACACACAGCACACACGCAGCACACACACAGCACACACACACGCAGCACACACAGCACACACAGCACACACACACAGCACACACAGCACACACACACAGCACACACACACGCAGCACACACACACAGCACACATACACACAGCACACACACACACCAGCACACACACAGCACACACACACAGCACACACAGCACACACACAGCACACACGCAGCACACACACAGCACACACACACGCACACACACAGCACACACACAGCACACACACACACGCAGCACACACACACACACGCAGCACACACACAGCACACACACACGCAGCACACACACAGCACACACACGCAGCACACACATGCAGCACACACACGCAGCACACACACAGCACACACACAGCACACACACAGCACACGCAGCACACATGCAGCACACAGCACACACACACCAGCACACACAGCACACACACACATGCAGCACACACACAGCACACACACACACAGCACACACACGCAGCACACACACACACAGCACACACACGCAGCACACACATGCAGCACACACACGCAGCACACACACACATCACACACAGCACACACGCAGCACACACACAGCACACACACAGCACACGCAGCACACATGCAGCACACAGCACACACACACCAGCACACACACACATGCAGCACACACACACAGCACACACACACACAGCACACACACGCAGCACACACACGCAGCACACACACACATCACACACAGCACACACGCAGCACACACACAGCAGACACACGCAGCACACACACAGCACACACAGCAGACACACACGCAGCACACACACACACGCGGCACACACACATAGCACCCACACACCCACAGCACACACACACGCAGCACACACACACACAGCACACACACATCACACACACACAGCACACACACACACAGCACACGCAGCACACACAAGCAGTACACACACACGCAGCACACACAGCACACATGCAGCACACACACAGCACACACATAGCACACACACAGCACACATACACACAGCACACGCACGCACAGCACACACACACGCAGCACACACGCAGCACACACACACACAGCACACGCAGCACACACACGCAGCACACACACAGCACACACACGCAGCACACACACAACACACACTCAGCACACACGCAATACACACACGCAGCGCACACAGAGCACACACACGCAGCATACACACACGCAGCACACACACACACAGCACACACACACGCACACACACACACATGCAGCATACACACGCACACACACACAGCACACACACGCAGCACACACACACGCAGCACACACGCACGCATTACACACACACACACGCAGCACACACACGCAGCACACACACACAGCACACACACACGCAGCACACACACACGCAGCACGCTGACATTGCCTGGCAGATCGGGTTTTCATCCGGAGGGTCCCTAGGAGGAAAGTCCCGCGGTTTCCCGGTGCCAGGAGATTGGCCGACCCTCGCAGGACAGGTTCACCTGGCCAGCCGCAGTGAGTCATGCACGACATCGGGGAGGGGGCTGGGTGAAATGCAGGGCGTTTCTAAATGATGGACCCAATTTCAAAGCAGTATATTTCACGATGGCAACATGTTACAATTACACAAAAAGTTACAAACGGTTTAATGAGTTATCAAGTTTTACTAACCATTTTATAAATGCTCTATGTGCCTTCCACCCGCAGTATGGACAACATCGAGACGATAGTTGAATTCGTCCGAAACGCCTCTCAAAGTGTCTTCTTGCACTGAAGTCACCGCTGCCGTGATTCTGTTTTTGAGGTCATCCAGATTAGTCGCTAATGGTGGCACAAAAAACTACGGTCTTTGACGTATCCCCACAATAAAAAAGTCTCAGGGTGTGGTGATGTCTGGGGATCTTGGGGGCCAAGAGTGTAGCGCCAAGTCTTGGGGTCCCGTGCGACCTATCCAACGTTGAGGCAGTGTGGCTTGCGAATGACTGAGGCTGGGGGCTGTTTGTGCGCTGGGTGAGGCATCTCGCGGTCATCATTTGAAACTCTATGCCCCGCCCCCTCTATGCCCCGCCCCCTCTATGCCCCGCCCTCTCTATGCCCCGCCCCCTCTATGCCCCGCCCCCTCTATGCCCCGCCCTCTCTATGCCCCGCCCTCTCGAGCGATAAGAGTTTCATTCATGGGCGGTTCGTGGTTGCAGAGATCTCGCGATTTCCATTGGGGTCCATCTGTTTTGAAACAGCCTGTAGCAAGCGAGCAGACTGAGGTCAGGGGGTCGCAGCGCCACGACCTTCCCCAGAGCGAGTCCACACACCGGCAGGGTGGGTGCTCGCCAGCCGGACGTCCTTCCAGATTAAACGGGTTGAGTCAGGAACTCACGAGTACGGGCACATCGACTAGAGGTCGCGGCAACGCTCCGTGTGAGGGGGGGGGCACGAGCGAGGATCATCGTCGGGTGGCAGGCGCACGATTGGCCGCGGGTGTTTTGAAGTGAGGGGGGTAAAGAGGGGAACCCGAGACATTCCAGACAGAACTCTTCCTCAGCATCTCGGTCGCCAAGACCCCCCCCCCCGGCATCCTGCCTCCTCGAGCCGCTCGCAGCTTCCGTGTGACGCCGCTCCGGGGCAGCGATGCGCGAGGGTTGTCGTCACCCTCCCTCCCGCTCCTCTCGCAGAGCCCAGCCGCGGGGTGCGTGACAGACAGGGCGCCTGAGTGTCGGGGACTTGGGCAGCAGTCGGCTCCGGGTCGCGTCGGGTTTGGGGGCCGTCCAGAAATGACGTCACGCGATTTTGGACGATTTTGACCCCCCCCCCTCAAATGTGACGTCCCAAAGCTCTGCCCCCCCCTCCCCAAATAAAACATGCTTCAAATCGCTTTAAACTATTGTCATTGTAGTGCGTATTTAATGTGGCGCTGCACTCTGATGTTGTAGGAGAAAACATTTATTAAAAAGTAAATTTACTTAAGTAGAACGTGTTGTCTATATTTATTTAAAGTTGCGCATTTTCTCAAACCCCCCCCCCCCCGTCACACATCGTCACAAATTGTGTTATGTAGTGTGTGTGGTGTTGTATTTTGTGGTGTGTGGTGTTGTATTTTGTGGTGTGTATTGTGTGTGTTATATTGTGTGTGTTATATTGTGTGTGTTATGTATGTGTGTTGTGTTATGTATGTGTTGTGTTATATTGTGTGTGTGATGTAGTGTGTGTTGTGTTATGTGTTGTGTGTTATATTGTGTTTGAGATGTAGTGTGTGTTGTGTTATGTGTTGTGTGTTAGATTGTGTGTGTTATGTGTTATATATTGCGTGTGGTGTTGTGTGTTATGTACTGTGTGTGGTGTTGTGTATTGTGTGCTGTGTATTGTGTGTGTTATATTGTGTGTGTTGTGTTATATTGTGTGTGTTATATATGTGTGTTGTGTGTTTATATTGTGTGTTGTGTATGTGTGTGTTGTGTTTATATTGTGTATATGTGTGTTGTGTTATATTGTGTGTGGTGTTGTGTGTTATATTGTGTGTGGTGTTGTGTTATATTGTGTGTTATATTGTGTGTGGTGTTGTGTTATATTGTGTGTTATATTCTCGATTTGAAGCTTTCGTGACTGCAAAGATTCATTTTCTTAGGTTTTTTCGGTTAAGTCACGTAAGTAAAACATCAAAATAAAAATAAAAATCACGACGTTTCGGAGCGTCGTGATTTTTATTTTTATTTTATTTTTATTTTGATGTTTTACTTACGTGACTTAACCGAAAAAACCTAAGAATGTGTGTTATATTGTGTGTGGTGTTGTTATATTATGTTATATTGTGTGTTATATTGTGTGTGGTGTTGTGTTATATTGTGTGTTATATTGTGTGTTATATTGTGTGTGGTGTTGTTATATTATGTTATATTGTGTGTTATATTGTGTGTGGTGTTGTGTTATATTGTGTGTGTGTATGTTATATTGTGTTATATTGTGTTATATTGTGTGTGTATGTATGTTATATTGTGTTATATTGTGTGTGTGTATGTTATATTGTGTGTGTGTATGTTATATTGTGTTATATTGTGTGTGTATGTATGTTATATTGTGTGTGTATATATATGTTATATCGTGTTATATTGTGTGTGTGTATGTTATATTGTGTTATATTGTGTGTGTATGTTATATTGTGTTATATTGTGTGTGTGTATGTATGTTATATTGTGTTATATTGTGTGTGTATGTTATATTGTGTTATATTGTGTGTGTATGTTATATTGTGTTATATTGTGTGTGTGTATGTATGTTATATTGTGTTATATTGTGTGTGTATGTGTGTTATATTGTGTTATATTATATTGTGTGTGTATGTTATATTGTGTTATATTGTGTGTGTGTATGTTATATTGTGTTATATTGTGTGTGTATGTATGTTATATTGTGTTATATTGTGTGTGTATGTATGTTATATTGTGTTATATTGTGTGTGTGTATGTTATATTGTGTTATATTGTGTGTATGTATGTTATATTGTGTTATATTGTGTGTGTGTGTATGTTATATTGTGTTATATTGTGTGTATGTATGTTATATTGTGTTATATTGCGTGTGTATGTTATATTGTGTTATATTGTGTGTGTATGTATGTTATATTGTGTTATATTGTGTGTGTATGTATGTTATATTGTGTTATATTGTGTGTGTGTATGTTATATTGTGTTATATTGTGTGTGTATGTTATATTGTGTTATATTGTGTGTGTATGTATGTTATATTGTGTTATATTGTGTGTATGTATGTTATATTGTGTTATATTGTGTTATATTGTGTGTGTATGTGTGTTATATTGTGTTATACTGTGTATGTGTGTGTATGTTGCCGTGTGTAACTTTATTGTACGCGGGTGGGAAGTCAGCAGGGGCTCAACCTGCAAGGGAATCGATACTGCGAATCGATCGAGCTGGAACCGACGGAGCTAGAATCGATCGAGCTGGAGTCGACCGAGTCGGGAATCGACCGAGCTGGAATCGATTCGTCCGCCGCGCCGTCGCTCTGATTCTGCTCGCGCCACGTGCGGCTCGTCCCGACTGTCGCTGCGTCGCCTGCAACTTGCGGGCAACATGTTTTGGGGTGAGTCGCCTCTTCTGCTCGAAGCCGTGAACTCTCTCTCTGCCTCCCTCCCTCCCTCCCGTCTTGCAGGGCGGTGAACAGGCGTCGCCACGAGTGGTTTGTGTTCGCGCCGCGTGGCTCGGGACGCCGCCGGGCCGCGTGCCTCCTGGCTAGGCCCCAGGCCACGTGCGGCGTTGCGCGAGTCTCGGTGGAGAGATAGTTTAGATGATTATAATTGTTGTTGTTGTGATAATGATTGTGTGTGTGTGAGAGAGAGGGGTGGTTGTTAGAACAAGCGGCTGTACGCGTAGTGGTAGACGCTTTGTCCGCACTAAATGAATACTCCGGTGATGTTGCGGCTTTGGGACAGCGCTGCTCAGCTACAGAATCCAGGGATTCGTCGGTAACGCCGCGTGTGGCCCTGAAAGGAAACGTATATAAAGCACGACTGTACTGTATATATAACATGATGCATATTAATTTTCAATGCAATAATAGATGAAAGACAATCTCCCGAAACGTGATTTAAGTAAGGGACATTGCCCGAAACATCGCCTATTGTAAACTTTCCCGTTTAAGGCCACGCCGTGTTATGAAGGAGTGGTTTTATCGTCGTGAGAATACATGAAGGAGAGCGAGCCGGGAATGAGATTTACGCATCTGCAGGTGGGCGCCACGTGGTGGGAAGGAGCAGAGCGCAGGCCCGAACCCACTGTCGGCTGCCTGCAACAAAGCGCACTTGCGAATTCCCTCCCGTAGTCTTACACCAAGCTCGTATAACCTTGATACAATCAAGGGACGTGTTGAACTCGCATCTATTTTAGAATATTTGTCTGCCATAAACGTCCACGTGATGAGCCACTTTGTTCAGCAATCGTTAGTAGCCGAGTCGATCAGTGGGCCTTACCTGGCAAAATACAAGAAGTTATTAATGGCATCACTGCACAGACGTATTCACTCTCTTTTTTATTTATCCATGAAAGCCATACTCAATCGTAGCGATTTTTTTGCAGGAGGGTCCTGCCGCTACAATGAATTTTTATTTGAGTGTCCCGGGTATCCCCTAGGTCGACTGAGCCTCAAATGAGTACCTAGTGCGGTGTGTTAAACATCTCCACTCGGGAGACAAAGGCGGCCGGGCGTGGTACTGGCTACCCATCCCCTCGTGTGCCGTGCCGGCTTTCATAGGTGCTTGCTAACAGCACTTGCCCATACAGTGTGTTAAGGCTATACGGGGGATCTTTGTATTTTGTTAGCGAGAGTGTGTGTAAGTGAGAGCGCGTGTGTGTAAAAGAGAGCGTGTGTGTCTAAGAGTGTGTGTAAGTGAGAGAGCGTGTATTGAGAGCGTGTGTGTGTAAGTGTGAGAGCGAGTGTGTGTACCTGAGGGAGTGGAGGTGTGTGTGTTTGTAGGAGAGCGTTTTCCCGTGAGATCGAGAGAGTCTCCTGTATCTGCTACCCCCATCACCCGTGCAGGTCTCACTCTGGAGCAGGGGAAATGCTACTCCCAGGAGGTCAAGGAGTCGTTCCACATCACCATGGCTGCATTGGACCCTCAGTCCGACCACGGTAATCACGATCATTATGTACAAAGCGACGAGCTGGAATCCAGGGATCTCAGTGCGCCATCAGAGCCCCCACCTCGCTCTCGAGCCTCCCACGTTCTCTCCTTTTTTTATTACACGCTTTTATTTAACTCACTCTTATCCTCAAAAAACCGTGTCCTCAAAAAATCTTGTAACTCAATTTTTACCCACTTCCCAATGTGCTATCGACTGCAAACTTGGTATACTTATGTCATACTGATGACAATACTATATTCTATAATTAGAAATAAAACATATTTTAAACAATCTTTTTTTATACCATTGGAACCTCATTTGCCAGTAAAAATATGATAATGATTTTTTTTTTGCCAGATAGAAGTGTAAAAAACAATTATCAATATGTTATGTTTCGGCTTGGGTCTAATTGTCCAAGCTCAACTGACGGTTGGCTGTAATTGGCCACGGTCCCTTACGTTGTGGCAAGCCTCGGGGCCACTTCCTGGAGTCGTGGAGTTTTGCCATTACTCATACGGTACATTTCATTAAAGCGTGTTTTTAAAAAGTACTTTTAAATATTACTTTTATTAATGACGACGACCATAATATTTGCAATGATAGGACACTTAAATACCTCGGCATTTCGAAAGCGCCTTACGTGTCACCTCATTTTAACCCTTCAAAATGTAATCCCAAAGGGGGCAGCTGCCCCTGTCAATGTGCAATGCTGCTTATTGCGCATCCACAGGGCACCACGGTGGCTAGGAGATGTTAACTATCTCGCCTGGTATGCAGGAGGTCGTGGGTTCGATATCGACCCTAATGCCTGTATATGTGGAGTTTGCATGTTCTCCCTGTGGTTGCGTGGATTCTTCTCTGGTTCTTCCGGTTTTTCCCTCCACAATTAGAATGAACATCACGTGTTCGAGTATTTGGCTGCTGTAAATTTCAACGTGAAAATGAGCCACTTAGTTGAGCTATCATTTGTAGCCAGGTCGCTTGTGAAAAAGATCTGTATAGCTCAGTGGGCCTTACTTGGTGAAATAAAAAAATTAGTTTAGTTTTACTGTGGTTTTTTTACTCGGCACTGGCCTGCAATTGGTCAGCCACTGAGGGGGTGATGATCGCTTCGCTATGTGTACCTTGTAATCCAAATTGAGTAATTTACAGGTAAATTTTTTTTGTAAAAAATGAGCAGATGCTATCCATGGTCGTTTGAATTTTTACCTGGTTCAGCAAATAAACTTGAACCACTTTGGACTTTGATACAAAGTGGTACTTATTTTTAAATCCTTTATATTAAGTTCGCTTGCTTGCTTGTGTGCTTGCTTGCTTACGACTGTGCAAATCTTTCGGTCGTTTTTTAACCCACTTCCCGTGATCCAATCGAGCTGACATTGTGCACACAGACTCGTTGTGCGTGACAATAAATTTTCGTGAATTTTTTTTCCAAAATTTTACACTGTTTATGGGAAAAAATAAATATTTAATTACCAATTGCTTAATGGTGGCAGACAATCATCTGACCCATAGGTGGCAGCCATCTCAAGCCAGAGGACGAGAGGACTCTAGCCGCCCGTTTCATGATGACGCAAATGTTGACTAACCACATGGCATGAAATCCCTGCCCCCACGCTGTACAGTGGAGACTATTTATAGAGCAGTTAAATTGAAGCCGCCAGGTTCTTCAAAGTGGTAAAACGGGTCAACGCTAGTGCCCTCAGGAATATACGGGGCATGTCAAGAGGTGATCTTACATATAAAGGATTTATAGTGAAAAACTTTGTTTTTAAGGGTTAATTTTTTAAATCCTTTATATTAAGTTCACTTGTTTGCTTGCTTGCACGCTTACGACCGTGCAAATCTTTCGGTCGTTTTTTAACCCACTTCCCGTGATCCAATCGAGCTGACATTTTGCACACAGACTCGTTGTGCGTGACAATTTATTTTCGTGAAAATTTTTTTCCTAAATTTTCCACTTTTTAGGGAATTTTTTTTTCATATTTAATTTAAAATACCAATGTGATAAAAATGAAACTCTTACTCAAGAAAAACAGAAATGAATAATAAAATAAAACCGATGCCACGCATATATAGGATTTATAGTGAAAAACTTTGTTTTTACGGGTAAATTTTTAAATCCTTTATATTAAGTTCGCTTGCTTGCTTGCTTGCGTGCTTGCTTGCTTGCTTAGGACCGTGCAAATCTTTCGGTCGTTTTTTAATCCACTTCCCGCGATCCAATCGAGCTGACATTTTGCACACAGACTCGTTGTGCTTGACAATTAATTTTCGTGAAAAAAAATTTCCAAAATTTTACACTGTTTAGGGAAAATTTTTTAAATATTTTATTACCAATTGCTTAATTTTGGCAGACAATCATCTGACCCATAGGTGGCAGCCATCTCAAGCCAGAGGACGAGAGGACTGTAGCCACCCGTTTCATGATGACGCAAATGTTGACTAACCACATGGCATGAAATCCCTGCCCCCACGCTGTACAGTGGAGACTATATAGAGCAGTTACATTGAAGCCGCCAGGTTCTTGAAAGTGGTAAAACGGGTCAACGCTAGTGCCCTCGGGAATATACGGGGCATGTCAAGAGGTGATCTTTCATTTTTAAATCCTTTATATTAACTTCACTTGCTTGCTTGCTTACTCAAGAAAAACAGAAATGAATAATAAAATGAAACCGATTTCACGCATATAAAGGATTTATAGTAAAAACGGGTTAATTTTTTTTAACGCAGGATGGAAGTTGGGTTTAGTCAACCCCTCCAACCAGAGAGGCACTCTATCCCTTATTTTCTTTTGTACGACTGCTGATGTAGACGCAGACCAACAACTACAATTTCCCGTTCAGCTGGGCAAGTCCAGATAAGCGCGTCAGGATTAGCGGGGAGTGTATCATCGCTGTCTCCTTCATATTTGTGGATCACGGCATTGCGTTGTTATACGTTGTAAGGTCTGTTCAGGATGACCACAGTCAAACTACTGGAGATGTTTTTATTTTCTAATTGTGCATCAGGTATCCGCATCTTTCGTGGTCTGTGCAGTGGCTGTGGTTTAGAGTGGACCATGAGCTTCGTGGAAGATCAAACTCAGGGGATCTTCTGCATTGGATCTTTCACGGCAATGTGTTCGTTAGTCCATTTGAATTCCATTCAGCTCTCCCAAGCATCATCGGGGTTGATCTCGCATCGTTAAAGGTTAAGCTCTACTGCTGATCCACGGGGTCTTTTGATATGAAACAATGTGGCGATGAGGATAGCAAAACCCGGAGCGGGCCTCGTTGTCCATGGACGGGTGGGGGTGAAATGTCAAGTCTGGGACAGACATTGACAATTGCATCTGCGCTTGAATTGTCCCTCTCTCACCGAGCACCCCTCCCCCCCCCTTGCCGTGTGTAACGTAGGCGCCAGCACGGTGAGCGTGCTGGTGAACGTCTGCGACGGTGGCGACTTTGTGGCGTGCACCCTGCAGCAGGGCCACTGGCAGCAGTCGCTGGACCTGGTGTTTGTGCAGGGTGAGGTGGTCACCCTGGCCTCCAGGGGTCGTGGTAAGCGCTGGCGACACTGGGGACACGATTCCATAACAAAAATACTTTCGTCCCGTTTGGGTTATTTGCCTCGTATGTTCTTTGTTGCTCTGTCTCACGCCTGACTACAAAATGCCAACCATTATCAGCCTTGATCTATCCACTGCCGGATGAGGGTCTCGCTGAGCTGCCGCCATCGTTGGCAGCGCTGCGATGCAAAAATATGTCGCGCTCCGACACACGGGCTCATGTTATTGCTTCATCTTGCATGTCGTGTTGTGCGCGTTCCCTCCTCTGCACTCGTCTTAGCCCAGCTGAAGAGAACGTCGTGTGTTTGGTGTTGCAGACACGTGTCCGTTTAAAATAATGACGCTTGTGGTAACGGGAATCTGAAGTCGTACGGAACCCGCCCGCGCGAGGGTTGAAAGCGCGCTGGTTGGCGCGCCGGTCCATGTAAAATACCCGCGGGCTGCGATGGTGCGCGCCGGGCTTCGCTTGTGGACGACAGCAACTCCGCCGCAGCCCCATGGTGCGGCCGCTCGCCGTGAGCGGACGCGCGGGGGCACGCGCGGCGGGACAGACGCTCACAGACGCAACGGAGCGCCGTGCTGGCACCGCCGTACAGGAGGGCATGTGACCCCCAAAGCACACAGATGGGGCTCGTAGCTGAGAACCTTGGCTCGGGAGGGTGGAGCACCAATAGGGTACCGTTTGAATACAGGTTTTTCGTGATTAAAATAGGTTATTTTTCATAATATAGGTTTTTTTGGTTGAACCCGCCACCACCCAACACAGCCAATTGGTAAGTTTTGTCACGTCAACAGAAAATGGCAATTCGTTACTCGTACAGCACACCGGTGTGTTGGAGAGAAAATCCACAACGTTTACAATCTTGAGTACGACGTTTCGCTCGTAATTACAACTAGCATCATCAGGCGGACAGCCAGATTTGTTGCAAGCACAGTGTGCTGACCATCACACCATAGCAGATCTCCCCCCCCCCCTCGTAAAGGAAAGGGGCACGACCCTGAAACCGGTGGGGCTCACGGTCTACACACAATGGGTTCCACAGTGTCGGATGAACATTTAAAACACTTTAAAAGATGCAGGTAATCACGAGTGATAATCGTGAAGTGGCTTTTCAATTGGCCACAGCGCATGAACAAATTAGGACTGATGAAGGTGCCAATACCTCGCTCATAGATTGATTGATTATAAAGTCGTGCTATTACAAGGCTGCAAATGGGTTAGCCCCACATTACTTACAGGGACTGATCTACTTCTATACACCACCAATGAGCCTCTTGACATTTTCTGATCTTCTTGGTAATCCGAGGTCAAGGCTCCGTTCCTAGGGGTGATCAGGCTTTTGCCAGTGCAGCTCCAAGACTATGGAACGTGTTGCCTTTTTTGAAAATGGCCTCATTTTTGGTCGTTTACGCTGACGGTCTAATTTCCCTGCTTTACATACATGGCACATTGGGATCCTTGGATTAAGTTTGCCTTACAAATGTAGATTATTATAAAATACCACGGTGTCGGATGGAACTCTGAACCGACCTGTTAATCTGTGCTGGGTTTCGTCAATGGGCGCTACCTTACAGCCCTTGCGCCATCGGTCTTTATAACGGCCGCGTGGGGATCTACGTACGTGCGTGTGCAGGCGTGGTCCATCTCACAGGCTACCTGTTGGGCGACGAAGGCAAGTCCATCCTCGACACGAGCAAGCAGTGGGAGAGCAGCAGTCAAGTCTCAACCGGTAACGAGCTCCCCACGACTTCCCCGTCAGCGCCACCCCGCGCTCGGCCCTCTCGCGTGAGGGCTGACTGTTTCCCCCGCCCCCCTCTTGGTTTCTCTTTCCCCGCTTCTCCCCGTTGTGTCTCGAGATGAAGACTGAAAAACGACACTGATTTTTATTTTAGCAGGTAAGGCCCACCGAGCTCTACAGCTCTTTTTGAGAAGCAGCGTGGCCATCACAAACGATAGCTCAACGGCATGGCTCGTGATGCGGACGCGACGGCAAGATCGCCAAGCGGCGCCAGCTCTGAGAGCGGAAACTAAACCCAGGCGGCGTGCGTGTCTTGTGTGCGCGTGTCTGCGTGCATCTGTGTCCCCGTGTTTGTCCACCGGCACGCGAAGCCAACGGAGTCAAGCGGCCATCGAGAAGCACGAAGGTACCACCCCTACCAGCCAAAAAGCTAAAAATTGAAACGCTGGACAGCCTGGAGGCGGACGGCAGCGACGAGGACAACGACGATGACTACGTGGAGGAGGTGGAGGAAGGTAGTGATGAGGAAGAGCAGGAGATGGAGGATGTGGAGTCACCGGTTGCGAAGAAAACACAGAAAGCGGATGTCACCAGTGAAAAGGTGAGCCTAGCAAGAAGTGCATTGTGGGAAAAAGTGCATTATCATCTTTGTACATTTTTTTTCATCGCGATTTGTATAATTGTTGCAATTGCTTTTTGTTCCTCTCAATTTTTTTACGGACAGGCCAAAGCTGACAAGACGCCCAAAGCAAAGGCGCCACAGTCAGCCAAGGAGGCGGCCCCAACCCTAAAGACCCCGCAGAAGCAGCAATCGCCCAATCAGAAAGGTGAGCGGCCCCGCGTTACCCCGGCGCCCCCGCAGGCTGTGCAGCGTGCGCGGGGTGGCGCTCGGCGCGTCTCGCTTGGCACGACACTCGGCTCGCAGCAGGAGGAAGCGCGCGCCCATCTCGCTCGGGGTCATCGTGGGTGATCTCGTCCGCCGCTCGTGAGCGTTGTGAAGCATTGGTGCTCATCTCCTGATTACAGCCCTGAGCCAGTGGCGGACTATTCCACATTGCTGTGGTGGGGGCGAGTCAATCGGTAATCCAACCACTCTTTACTGCCCCATTAAATGGTACTCGTTACATCGGCCCTGGAGGGTTGATGGGCTGAAACGAGACCCAGTTAGGATTTGAACTCGACCTTCCGACTGACGGGGCCGCCTCGCTGTAACGGCGAGGAGCCACGTGACCAGATCATCGGTCGGAGAGCCCCATGTTTGCATCGTTGTCTCGTTGACAATGTCGGCAAATCCCACCCCGAGTAGAATCGCCAGGAATCAATGTAAATCCGTGGCACGACAAGAGCGACGTGGCTGCCGCAGGGTTGATGCCAACGCCGCAGTGCCAAGATGTTAACTCCCTCGCCCGCTATGCAGGAGGTCCTGAGTTCGATCCCTAACTGTAGTCGTGTGAATTTTTCTCTTGGTCCCCAGGTGTTTCCCTCCACATTTATAAACATGCGTTTAGAGTCGATCATTTGTGGCTAGGTCACTTCTGAAAAATCGCTCCATAGCTCAGTGGGCGTTGACTGGTAAAATATATATTTTTTAAATCTTCCTCCCCCGCCCTGCACGTCTCTCCGCATTGTTTCTCGCAGCGAAACTGGCGGCGGCGCAGCCCCAGACACGCCCAGCGACCCCGGGGCCCAAGACGACCCTGCCAGGCGGCCTCCTGTCCCAGGATGTGACGATCGGCACCGGCATACGCGCCAAGCGCGGGAAGATGGTGAGTGCGTGCGGTGTGGCGTTGTGGGATGGCGATCATGGCGCATCTCTCGCTCCCCACCCCAACCGCCGAGCGATTTCATGATTGGTGCGAGTCCCGGTCGCGTTTCAGTCGAGGGTCGATTGTGTTCATCTCGACACCATTTTAGTGTGCTGTGTTAGCCCGATTGTAGCATTGGCATGTAATTGGTGTGAAATATAAGTTATTTATTCTCACGTGCTCAATTTAATGCGTTTACCGTGAGCTTAATAATCGATTTAAAATTTGTAGAAGCCACGTACCGTTCCACCAGCACCATTCCACCACGTACCGTTCCACCCCTTGCGGCAACCGCGGTCAAATAGCACGTGTCTTAATCGAGCGTGGGGTGGCGCTCCCCCCTCTGTTGACGACCCTGAGGTGGTGGTGGAAATTCCACATTCCTTTTGCGGGCTTTATAGCACACTCGCCGTTCACTTCCCGATGGCTTTGCTGAACGAGTGGTACCTATTTTATGGAACCCTGAAGGGACGATGATGATTGGCCGAATGTTAGTGTTTGCGTGTACAGGGTGCGTCGTCCTGCCCGTAGCCTCGCACGCCAGCCGCTGGCGCCGCAGTGGCTCGGCACCAGCCTGGCGTCGCTCGTGCGACCTCTTGCCAAAACGAGCCGCAGGGGAATCGCCGCGATCGACCTCCGTCACGTACCCTGACGGCGGCGCTCCCCCCTCCTCTCCACCTCCCTCCCCTCTCCACCGCGCAGGTGACCGTCTACTACAAGGGCATGCTCACCAGCGGCAAGGAGTTCGACTCGACCACCAGCGGGAAGGGCTTCACCTTCCGCCTCGGAGCAGGCGAGGTCATCAAGGGCTGGGACATGGGGATCGAAGGTGAGCGGGGGACGGCGTTGCCGCGCGGGGGTGGGGTGAAGTCGTCGTAGCGCGGGTGAAAGAGAAGAGACTTCTATCTTTGCGGGAAAGGGTGATGGTGGTGGGGTGGGAGGTCACGAAGAGGTTAGAGGTCGCGGTGGGGTCCGAGTTGGAAGAGCACCGCACCGATGACTGCCCAGAGAGTCTGTCGTCTCTTGGGAGATGCAGCGAGGAATTCGTGATTGACAGCTCTGTGTTCATCCACCGTTGAAGGCCCTTCCCACGTCGTGTTGGTTATGGGAGTTGTCTGATCATACTTCACCATGCTGGCTGGTGTGGATTTGTAAAGAGGGGGGGGCGCCACCGGCCGATGGGGATGTCACGCGCCCGACCAATATTAGCCGGGAGCCGGGAATAAAACTCTGGCAGCGGGTTCATGGAGCAGCTTGCGCTAGACGCTGTGTGTCCGCTGCACCCCATGAACCGCAAATGACCAATTCTCGCGTGCGTGAACGTGTGGATCGGTTTTAATCCCCCCCCCCCTGCTATTTCCACGTTGACTGTTGTCCAGTTACATCATGGGACCTCCTTTGCCAGTTCCAAAATATGAGAATAGGTTTTCCACTTTTTTCTGGCAACACAACAGGTGTTAAGATTAGAAGCTTTCGTGACTGCAGGCTTTCATACTCACGTAGATAGGAAACTAAATAACTAATAGATCACGACGTTCCTATCGCATCAACAAGCGATCGTCCTCAGGTGAAAGAGAGAAGCATGCCTCTGACAAGGCATTGTATAGAGGGGGGAGGAGGGGAGGGGAGGCCGCAAAGGGGCGAGAGGGTGGGGATACAATTCAAAGAGGGCTTGGGTGAACGAGAGAGAACAGAAATGTGACGAGGAAGCTTAGATATCAAACTTAACAAAATTTTGAAATGTAATCCAACTCATGTTTGGAAGGACTGGATCAACCAGGTCAAGTGTTAACTGTTGTGTTAGCCAACTCTCTGAGTTGCATTACACGCGCCTTTTGGCGTCCTCTGGTCTAGCACCAATTGAGACGAGGCTCCAAAGAAAGCCGTCTCTGGTGTGGACCAATCAGTTTCAAAGACAATGCATATATCATCAGTGTGTTTTTTGTTTGCATTCTGACCACAAGTATTGTGGTTAATGCAGACATGATTCCTTGTAAAAGGTTTCAGTTTGGTGTTTTAACATCTTTAACACAGCTGATTTGTTGCCAGAAAGAAAGGGGAACACCCCTTCTCATGCTCTCCAGTTGTTGTGTTTTTGTGGTGGTTTCCCGCTCAGTCCTGCAAGTGACGCCCGTGCGTGTCTGTGCGTGCCCGTGCGTGTTTTTCGCGTCTCGTGCTGTGCCCAGGGATGAGTGTGGGAGGCAAGAGGAAGCTGTCGATTCCCCCGCACCTCGCGTAAGTCTCACACAGCCATCGCTGACACCATCGTCCGTATTGTCTTCTGCGGCGGTGGTCCCCCCCCCCCCGCCGGTAAGGCCCACTGAGCTATGTAGCTCTGTTTCATAAGCGACCTGGCCACAAATGATATCTCAACAAAGTGGCTTATCATGTGGAAATGTGTCGCAGCCAAATATTCTAAAGGCATGTTTATAAATGTGGAGGGAAAAATCTGAGGACCTGGATAAAAATCCACTCAACCACAGAGAGAACGTGCAAAATATATTGGGGTCGGGATCGAACCCACGACCTCCAGTATATCAGGCGAGGTAGTTAATATCTCTCCCCTCTGTGGCGCCCCTTGCAATCCTCATCTTGCAATCCAAGAGGTCCGTTGCAATCCCCGTCCCTCTTGAGTTCTCACCTAGTCAAACAAAATTAACTTTAAACTTACATAATATATCAAACACCGAGCGAAACTCAACAATGGCAAAATTTCGACGAGGCTTGTTTAAAGAAGAGAATCTGAAGTCGTACGGAACCCCCCACCCTCGAGGGTTCAAAGAGCGCTCTTTGGCGGCGCCCGTCCATGTAAAATACCCGCGGGCTGCGATGGTGCGCGCCGGGCTTCGCTTGTGGACGACAGCAACTCCGCCGCAGCCCCATGGCGCGTCCGCTCGCCGTGAGCGGACGCGCGGGGGCACGCGCGGCGGGACAGCCGCTGGCAGGCGCGAGCATCGATGATCGCGTGACAGGAACTGCGTCGCGGTGCAGAGCTCGGGGCACCGATGCCATCTCCCTCGCTGGATACTGTGGCTTAGAACCCCCCGGCCCCCTGTGGTGGTCGCCGCGTTGGATTTTTCTCCGGGCCCTCCGGTTTTTGCCCCCTCTGGGCATTGAGAAACTGCGTTCAGTTTATTCGGCTGCAACTATAAATTCCCACCTTTAGTGATACAAGACACTGGGATGAACTTTCACCTGTGGCCAAGCTCGCCTTGGAAAAACAACTAATTCGGTGAGCCTCACCTGGTAAATAGAAAATAGCTTCATTTAGACATTACAACTGTTAGTAATGCTGCTATGGTTCTTCGACTGTTGTCTGACGTCACAGTTGATGTGTGCTCCACTGCTGATGTGTGTTATGTTTGTGTGTGACGCTGATGTGTGTGATGTTTGTGTGTGACGCTGATGTGTGTGATGTTGGTGTGTGTGACGCTGATGTGTGTGACGCTGATGTGTGTGATGTTTGTGCGTGATGCTAATGTGTGTGACGACGCCACGGCTGATGTTGTCGTTGCTGCCGCACAGGTACGGGAGCAAGCGCATGGGCCCCATTCCGCCCAACAGCACCCTCAATTTCAGCGTGGAACTGAAGAGAGTCAGCTAAGCATCGTGGGAAATGGACGCGCTTGGCCATAACACCGATTGGGATAAAAGAAAAATGAGTGCAACCGTGATAATGTAATTTACATTTCTGTTTTATGGATTGCGGGTACCGTTGTTTTCGAGAGATGGGGGTTGCCGTAGCGCCAGTTCGTGCAGTTTGCGTGCACATTTGTGTTGCGTGGCAGTCTCCGGACCGGACGGAAGCCGACAATGTGGTCGTTATGAATCATGCGTTCTGACATGGGACATGCCGCCCCAACACTGCCCGTCCACAGACTATTATGCCAAAGTCGCCCCACGTACTATGGCAAACGCCAGCTGATACCTTTCATGTCCGTCCACTGAATGAAGAGCCCAAATTTACACGAATCTTAACGGTGCACAATGTTATAATTTAATTACACTCCCCGTGCGGAGCGATAGATTTGTAAATACTTCGGTCTACCAAGCTCGGACGTCCACAAACCAGTTTTTTATTGTATTACTCGACTCGCCTGTGCGGTTGTCAATGTGGCAGAGTTGCGGTGGTCGACCCGTCGACCACGTGCGCTTCGCTTCCCACTCCAATCACCTATGACCCATGACCCATCGCGACGCCCCCTCCCTCACCGTTGTGCTCCCCTCTTCATCAACACCTGCCCCAAACTTGACCTTTAACCCCCGCCTATCTTTGGACTACGATGGCCGCCGTGGATTTTCATCCCGATCTTGACTTTGTTTCGCAATAAATATCTGTGTTTATTTTGTACCACTTGTCACACTAGTTTTAATAAACTCTCCGGCGTTGAGTTTTGGAAGGCGGCTCCGGTGTGCCGTGTGAACATCGCACTTCATGAGCCAGGCCAGCAGAGGGCGCTGCTGGACTGGTGACTGGAGGAGCCCCTGCGTGGCCCGTGTTTGCCTGCACTGGAAGTCCACGACTTACGAACAGCCCCATTACGAACCAGCTTCCATTTATTTTTTTACATTGACGTCCACACCAGAGACAGCTTTCTTTCGAGCCTAGTCTCAGAGGACGCCAAAAGGCGTATGCATATTTTACTGTTTTTTGTTTGCATTCTGACCACAAGTATTGTGGTTAATGCAGACATGATTCCTTGTAAAAGGTTTCAGTTTGGTGTTTGGACATCTTAACCCCTGTTTTGTTGCCAGAAAAAAGGGGAAAACCTATTCTCAGATCTGTACAAAGTTCCATCGGTGACAACCGGTAGGCAAGGCTGCGTTGGTTGGATCATGTCGCCCGCATGTCCTGCCACCGCATTCCTAAACAACTTTTGTTCGGCTGGATCGAGGGAGCTAAACGGGCGTGGCACGGGCTAGGGAAGAGATGCAGTGATGTGGTATGAGGATGTGGACTTGCTGATGACCGGTACCAGCGGTGTCAAGACCGGCCTCTGCGGAGGAGGCTCGTGAAGGACGCTGCTACTGGGCAGTTGGAGGCAGTCGCCCTCCAGCAACAACGGAGGGCAGAGGAGCGACGCTCAACAACGAGCAGAGCGCCGGGCGGCTTAAACACAGCAAGTTGGCACAGTAGGGGGCACAGGTGTTGTATCGTCCAGTCATCTCAGTAAGTCGATACATGGCACCTGGGTCTGCCCCGTGGCCTGCCGGAAGGCATTCGACACTTCACGTGGCCTTAAAATGCACATAGCCTGGCACAAGCGTCGTGGTGACGTCACCGCCACTTAGTGGCGAATGGCGGTTCTCGTGCGTGAGTGCAATTGTGGTGACTCGTTGACAAGCAATTCAGCCAACATAAGGACTCGGAAAAAAAATAGTTATCAGTGGTATTTTATTTTACGTTTGATTTTTTATTCAGTATTGTTTACAGTGTTACATGCAAATTTACACCTATGAATGTAACTGCTTCCCTTTGTTGTTGAACCGTTACGCATTTCATAACACTGACCGTATGGGCATTTAAATAGAGTACAGTATTGTGTTCCAACTTACGAACCGTTCTATTTACAAACGGTTCTCAGGAACAAATTGTGTTCGTGAGTCGAGGACTGCCCTCCAGTACAGGCAGGTCTCGCTTTAACGAGCGAGATAAACTTTAAGCGACAATTAGCTCGGTAAGCGAACATTAGCTTGGTAAGCGAACTCCTTAAACGAGCTTTATGTTCCCATTGACTCACGCGCATTATTAAAAGCTGAGATACGTTTTAGCCCCAACATGTACCACTTGAACGACTTTTTTTTAACGTGACATACAAATGATAGTATAATTTGAAAGTAAAGCATCAAATTTAACACGTGAAGAACCACTGCAAGATTTACGTATGTTGAACTTATTTTACACCGTACGTAGCCAACCGTGCTTATCGAAGGTGTGGGGGAAGAACGACAAACAACACTAAAAGCCGCTCTAGAGAAATTAGTTTTCAATATCTACTTATAAGTGTGTAGCTCCAGTGGCTTCTGAATATCAGAAGTTAGAGCGTTCCAAGCGGCCGCAGAAGTGCGGTGTGCATCTTTGTTCGATGGTTAGCCAAAAGCCACGATGAAGACGACGCGAGTTTGCATGATGATGGTTTATGCTCCTTGAGATCAAAATGTTGTGGTTTATTTGTGGCAACACTTTGGTTAATGAGTGCGACCATATAATGTATTAGCTTGCAAACGGAGATATTTTTTATAGAAATTTGCAGAATAAAATACTCAAATATACCCCTTAAAACCCATTCTATCCCACCACCAACACCTCCAACCAACACGCCCCTACACAGCTGACAACCTACACACACCCAAACCTACACACCTTGACACACCAACCGATACAACTCAACCTACACACACGACACCCCAATCTTCACACACCCAGATACTCCAACCTTTACACACCCCAACCTACACACACCTCAACCTCCACACCCCCCGACATCCCAACGTGCACATACCCCGACACCCTAACCTACACACACCCTGACACGCAAACCTACACAACACCCCAACACTGCAACCTGCACACACCCTGTAACCCCAACCTGCACACACCCTGACACCATAACCTACACACACCCCAACCTACACACATCTCGACACCCCAATCTACACACATCTCGACACCCCAACCTACACACACACTGACACCCCAACCTTCACACACCCTGGCACCATAACCTACACACACCCCAACCTTCACACACCCTGGCACCATAACCTACACACACCCCAACCTACACACATCTCGACACCCCACCCTACACAAAACCCTGACAGCCCAACCTACACAACACCCCAATCTACACACACACTGACACCCCAACCATCACACACCCTGACAGCCCAATCTACACAACACCCTGACACCCCAGCCTTCACACACCCTGGCACCCCAAACTACACACATCTCGACACCCCAACCTACACAACACCCCGACACAAAACTTTACACCCCAAGCAAAATCCACACTCGCTCATCACGCAAGACGAACATTCCACGTGTAGCCTACACACGTTTGGGGCGAGTGCTGTTAGCAAGCGGCACCCACGAGTCAGCACGCTACACCAAGAGTTGGGTGGCCGCCTTTGTCTCTCTGGTGGCAATGTTTGCACACGGCACCAGGCACTCATTTGAGCCTGAGTCGACCTAAGGGGAGGTCCAGGACCAGTTCAGATTGTCGTCACTGGTGTTCGTCATGAGCAGGGAATGAGCTCGTGTCGCCTTAAAATACTTTTGGGGCAAGGACTGTCAGCAAGCAGTATCACGCCCGGCCGCCTTTGTCTCCCCAGCAACGGTGTTTATCAATCGCACCAGGTACTCATTTGAGATTGAGTCGATTTAGGGGATGCCCAGGGGTGGTTCCGATAATTGTCACCGGTGTTTATATGGCGACGTTCAGACGCGTGAGCCGGAATCAAACTCGGGTCGCCAGGTTCGTAGCGCAGTGCACTCACCACGACACCACCACTCCACACGGACCCCAATACGTAAAACAGACAAAGATCCCCCATATAGCCTTAATAGAATGTTGGGGCAAGTGCTGTTAGCGAGCACCTAAGAAGGCCGGGACGGCACACGAGGGGGTGGGTGGCCAACACCACACCTGGTATACACCCACGTACACTGCAGCACAATCACACTCTGAATGATACACTCACCCACGCACACTGTACCACTATCACACTCTGAATGATACACTCACCCACCCACACTGTACCACTATCACACTCTGAATGATGCACTCACCCACGCACACTGTACCACTATCACACTGAATGATGCACTCACCCACGCACACTGTACCACTCACACTCTGAATGATACACTCACCCACGCACACTGTACCACTATCACACTCTGAATGATACACTCACCCACGCACACTGTACCGCTATCACACTCTGAATCACGCACTCACCCACGCACACTGTACCACTGTAATGTGAGGACATATCCGGGTTGCTGTTGGATTACACCTCGTACGATGATTGGCTCTGCCGGTCCTGGCCCATAGCCAATGGGGAGAAGTCTAGGGGCGTGGCCCTGACGTAATGCGAAGGTGACATCTGTAAGTAGAGGATTGGTTCTGCTGGCTTTAGCCACAGCCAATGGGGGGACGAGTCAGGGGCGTGGTCCTGGGAGCGTACCATGGAGTCTAGAAGATTCCATAGAAGCTAACCAGGATTGGTGGAAAGGTACCACGTGACCCAGGTATTAAAAGGGGTGGAGACGAACAACACGTGATCAGATCTGAAACGAACGGAGGGTGAGGCCACGCTGGAGCGGGGTCCAGGCTGCCACGTGGCCGCGCGTGTCTCTCTCCCTCTCACGCTGTCTGTCAGCAGCGTGAAGGAGTAAGATGGGAGTATTGTGAACGAAAGACAAATAAAGACCGGATTCCAGAAGTCGCTTCCACGACCTTTATTACATTGGTGACAGAAGTGCTTCTTGAGACCGTTTGGACAATTATTAGAAAATGTCCAAGCGCCTCAAGAAAAGAAACCCACCGGATCCTCCGTCGGATAAAGATGTCGAGGCGGATGAGGACGAGCTGCTGGGAGCCACGGGTCCTCTACCGCCATCTGCCGCTCTCCCCGACGCCACGCATCGACGACAGGCCGGCGAGACGATGTCTCCGGCTGCGGACGAGGGGTGGCGTCGGGTGGTGGAGCAGATAGAGTCGCTCCGTGCGATCCTGCTAAATCTTGCAACGGCGGTCGCGTCATCAGCGGCCCTCGGTCGGCCACGTGGAGCTCACCCAAGGGCCAATGACCAAAATCTTCAGCGGGAAACGCCGTCCACCATTACTCCTGCCGCGGAGGAGGAGGCCTCCATCTTGGGCGGGGCTGCTGCCACGCGGCCGCCGGACGCCATTTTGACGGAGCCGCGTGCTGTGCGGAGAGCGGGATCTGACACGCCCGAGGCCTCGGATATTCACCGCGGCCATCGCCTTCCTCAAATTAAAGAATTTGTCGCCGGGGGCGACTGGAGGGCGTTCACGTGGTGGTTCGAGTCAGCCCTTCGGTCGGTGCGATGGACGGAGGCAGAAGCGCTGGAGGCTCTGCCCATGCTATTGGACGACGTCTCCTTGGCAGTCTTCCGCTCCATCCCGGCGAGTAAGAAAAAGACGCTGCGTGACGCTTTCGCGGACATGGCGGAGTTCTACGAGCCGCCAACGGCGGCTACCAGGAAATTCATGCAGCGGCGTCGAGGAGCGGATGAATCGCCCTTGGCCTACCGAGGGGCGCTGTTGGCGCTTGCCATGGCCGCCTAGCCCGATTCGTCAGCCGATCTCCTGGATC